CGCTAGTCCCGAGCCGCGCAGACCGGCCGCCTCTGGGTTCCCCGCCCCGGCATGACGGACGTTTTTGGACTAGATACGTTTTTGCGGTGGAAAACTGCCCTGTGCCCGGTGGGACGTTTAGCAGCGCCCGGTGTCCACCAGCGCCCCCGTCTGGTCGTGGAAGAGAAGGGTCTCCGGGCATCGCCACGTATCCCCCGGGGCAAAATTGCCCCTGGGTCGGAACCGCTGGCCCACTTGTGTGTGTGTGTGTGTGTGATGTGCATTCACAATAGGAGTATTAAACCTGTAAGAACCTAACATATATATATATATATATGTATGTGTGTGTATGTATATATAAATAAATATATATAAATATATAAATAAATAAATATATATACATATATATGTGTGTATATATATATATACCGTTTCTGTGATGGTACCTAATTTCTCAGTCCCCAATTCTGTCAGGCAGGGGTCAGGCAGCTATTCGCCCCTCAAACCCTACTCATTAAACTGCCTCCTGGACCTTTGACACCACCTTGGGCACCGCAGGAAGCACAGTGCCTCGGACACAGTTCTTGCCGTCCAGGGGCTCGCAGTCCAGGTAAACAAAGAACCACAGTGGCGGTAATAACAAAGGGCACACAGACTCCAGCACAGCCGAGAGAGAGGTGCCCAAGATCTCACTCGGGCCTTCAGTGGTTTTGGGGAATTTGCCAGCTGGGTGTGAAGGGGCAGGAACAGGAGAGGGAGCCAGGACGGCGGGGCGGGGCGGCCGAGGCGGCATCTCACCGGCCGTGGGGTCCCCGTTCACCCCGGTGCAGCCGCGCACAGCGCAGGTCCCCACTCGGGATCTGTTGAAAGGGCGGAGGGACTGCTGCTTCCCTTCCTAGAAGCGGAGGCTTCTACTGTTTCAAAAGAGTGCTCGAGCAACCCCGAAGTTCTTTAGAAATTTCAATGTACATTAAAAATCTAAACACAAACACAATTTGTATCGTTTAAGCTCAACTCTCGTAAGTTCTGTATTAGATCTTTATTCAAAAAATGTATAGACTTGGAAGGAGATTGCAGGAGACACCAACAAGCTGGCTACCTGGCTCTTGACAGAAAAAGTCTGTTTAAAACTCTCTTTTTTTTTAATAAAAAATGTTTTTATTGATTTTTAGAGAGAGAGAGATAGCAACATGACAGAGCAGCAGCATCCATCAGCGGCCTCCTGCACCCCCCCCCCCGGGGGNGGGAATCCAGGGGCTGACCTCCTGGTTCCCCGCTCCAGGCTCAACCGCTGAGCCACGCCGGCCGGGCTGTTTGAAACTCTTACACCCAAACTTGTTTTTTCTTTTTCTTTAAAACTCTATGCCCCAGAGTTTTAACTCTAGGCGGGCACAAGCGGGAGGCAACCAAACGCGGGCGTTTCTTACACTAAACCCTCCAGGCTGCGCCGTCCACGCGCTCGGCGCCCAGGACGGGACCCAGCGGGAAGCTCCGCAAGTGGCCCCCGCTCCCCCGTCGGCTGGGAAACGCGTCCGCTCCGCTGGACAGGCCTGTGGGGACAGATCTCCCCGAGACGCTTTGGACAGTTTGGGCGTCAGCCCGTGTTCCCTGGAAAGGTGAAGGGCGAAGGTGGTGGCCCATCACCTCGTGTCCGCTAGGACTCAAGGAGGAAGGTAAAATCACGAATCACAGAAAGTCACAGCGAGTCTGGAAAATCAGAGCTCTCGGTTTTCTGCTCTGTCGGCGTGTGCAGCGGGGCCCCCTGGGATTAGGGGACAGGGCGCTGGGCGCGGCCGCCAGAGCTGCGGCGGACTGGGCGGCGGGGCGCGGGGCCCCTAATTCTGGTCCAGGGAGTCGGGGGCGCCAGGGGACGCAGCCGAACGTCGGCCCCGCCCCCCCAATCAATGGGAACATATCTTCGTGTGAGGAGTAACAGAAACAAACACAAAACAAAAAGGAAGAACTAGAAAGAAAACCCCAAACGCCCGCCGGGACGGGGAGCCGCGGGATGGGGAGCCCGGCCCCGTGGCTGCGGGTCGGAGCCCCCGCGGCCCCTCCAAGGACCAGCCGGGGACGCGGCGCAGCTCCGGGGACTCCACACGCCCCGAAGGCGCTACGGCGACGCTCTCCGCCTCCCGGGGCGTCCTCGGGAGGCCGCCCCACAGCCGTCTCCTACGAGGGGTGCTGCGGGCAGGCGCCCCCTTCCACCACC